CCCACGCTGACAACTGCTGATCTTTTTATTGACTCCGTAGTTTTGCCTGTTCCAGAATGTCATATAGTTGGAATCGTACAGTTTTTTCAGGTTGGCTTCTTTCACTTAGTAATAGGCATTTAAGTTTTCTGTCTGTCTTTTCACAGTTTTCTAGCTCATTTCTTTTTAGTACTGGACAGTGTTCTGTTGTCTGGATGGACCACAGTTTATTTATCCATTTACCCACTAAAGGGCAACTTGGTTGCTTCCAAGTTTGGGCAATCATACATAAACCTTCTATAAAGGTTTTTGTGTGTTTTTGACTCCTTTAGGTAAACACCAAGGAGAGCGACTGCTGAATCATACGATAAGAGTATCTTTTGGTTTTGTAGGAAGCCACCAAATTGTCTTCCCAGGTGGCGGTACCATTTTGGATTCCCACCAGCAAAGAATGAGAGTTTCTGCTGCTCCACATCCTCACAAGCATTTGGTTTTGTCAGTGTTCTGAATTTAGCCTCGTAGATTTTTACTTCTCTCTGTGCACCATTCATGAATCCTCTTCATGGACTGTCACTACTGTAGTTCAGAATAAAATTCTTTTTCCTTAGGACTTCAGTTTATCCACCTTTAATAGTTCTCTCTCCCTAGTCGAACTTGTACAGTGCTGTCAGATTTACTTGCTAAATATCAGCTCTGTAATTTTGCTTTTCCATTCAACAACCATCAGAGACTTTGCCTAGTAAATAAGACTTCTTTGCTTGTCATTTTAAGCCCTCCAAGATCTGACTCTGACCTGCCCTTCGAACATAATTTCCTTTTACTACTAGCCTTTCTGTCCCCTTCTTTTCAGGCAAACCAAATTTTTATCCATTTTCCATGTCATCCTTATGTTTTCTCGGATTTATATCTCTCAAGGTTTTTCCTTGCTTCCCACAGTCATTCTTTGTTCAGATGACATTATGCATCTAATCAGCCTGCATGCTACTGTCTCTCCCTCTTGTCTCCCTCTTAGATCTGCTTCTTTTCAGTACTTCTGTCAGTGGCTTTGGGTCCAGCATTTCCCTAGTGTTCTACTGGAAGACCTTCTTCAGTCTCCCTCCCTGCAAACTGCTGTCATGAAGTTTTTTCTCTTATGGAAATCACAAGCTACCGTTTTCCACTGTGGAAGATTTTGCGGGCTTTCCATTTGCTGAAGCAAGTTCTTTAGCTTGATATCCAAGTCATATTAAGGCATTTACAAAAATTCAGGTGTAATTGACCTATGACATTATATTAGTTTCAGGTGTACAGTGCAATGATTTGATATTTGTATGTATTGTGAAATGATCACTGCAGTAAGTCTGATTTACATCCATTATCATATGTATCATGGCATTTTTAAATCTTACCTCTTGCCATAATACTTTCTTTCACTATGTACTTTTTGTTGTATGAAACATTTTAGGTTGTTGTACACCTCTTTGCCTTTCCATTCTCTCCTGGAGCTTTCCTACTTTGTCCACATGACAAACTCCTAGTTTATCTTTTACCCTGCTATTTGGATATGACCTCCTGAAGCTCTTCCCTGAGCACCCCAAATACAGTTAATCTGTTCATTTTCTACATGTTACAGTATTACTTCTTTTTCTTTTTTTTATTGAAGTATAGCTGGCTTACAATTTTACATTAGTTTCAGGTATACAACATAGTGATTAGATACTTTTATAGATTACACATCATACAAAGTTATTATAAGATTATTTATTATATTCCCTGTGCTCTACATTATATCCCTGTGATCTATTTATTTTATAACTGGTAGTTTGTACCTTTTAATCCCCTTCATCTAATCTGCCCATCACCCCAACTCTCCCCCTCTCTGGCAACCACTAGTTTGTCCTCTATATCTGTGAGTCTGTTCCTATTTTGTTATATATTTTTATTTAATTTTTTTTGTATTTTACATATAAGTGAAAACACAGTGTTTGTCTTTCTCTGACTTATTTTACTTAGCATAATGCCCTCCAGGTCCATCCATGCTGTTGCACATGACAAGATTTCTTTTTTATGGCTGGGTAATATTCCATTGTATGTGAATTTGATCTTCGAACAACAAGGGTTTGAGCAGGTCCACTTATATGTGGATTTTTATTCATTAAATATGTACTACAATACCACACTATCTGCAGTTCGTTGAGTCTATGGATATGGAACTGTGGAGAGAGAATCCTCTGTAAAGGTATGTGTGGATTTTCAACTGCACAGTGTTTGTACCCCTAACCCTCATTTTGTTCAGGGATCAACTCTGTATGCCATATCTTCTTTATCCATTCATCTGTTGATGGGCCCCTACCTAGGTTGCTTCCATATCTTGGCTATTGTTAATGTCTGAATATTTAACAGTTTTAATTCTTCTAATCCATGAACACAGAATATCTTTCCATTTATTTGTGTTGTCACTGGTTTCTTTCATCGGTGTCTTATTGTTTTAGGAGTACAAGTCTTTTACCTTTTTGGTTAAATTTATTCCTAGGTATTTTATTCTTTTTGGTGCCATTGTAAGTGGGATAGTTTTCTCAATTTCTCTTACTGATAGTTCATTATAAATGTATAGAAATGCAGCTGATTTCTATGTATTTATAATGTATCCTGTGACTTTATTGAATTTATTTATTAGTTCTGAAAGTTTTTGCGGGGCATCTTTAGGGTTTTCTATGTATAGTATCATGTCATCCACAAATAGTGGCAGTTTTACTTTTCCCTTACAATTTGGATCCCTTTTATTTCTTTTTCTTGTCTGACTGCTGCAGCTAGGACTTCCAATACTTTGTTAAATTAAAGTGGCGAGAATGTCTTGTTCCTGATCTCAGAAGAAAAGCTTTCTGCTTTTTACCATTGAATGTGATGTTAGCTGTGGGTTTCTCATTAATGGCCTTTATTCTATTGAGGTATGTTCCCTCTATACCAACTTTGCTGAGAGTGTTTATCATGAATGGATTTGAATTTTGTCAATTGCTTTTCCTGTGTCTATTGAGAAAATTGTGATTTTTATCCTTTCTTTTGTTAATATGGTATATCATATTGATTGATTTGTGGATGTTGAACCATCCTTGCATCCCTGCAGTAAATACCACTTGATCATAATCTGTGATCCTTTTATTGTATTGTTGAATTCAGGTTGCCAATATTTTTTTTGAGGATTTTTGCCTCCTTATTAGGGGTAGTGGCCTGTAATTTTCTTTTTATAGTATCTCTGTCTGGTTTTGGTATTAGGGTAATGCTGGCCTTGTAGAATGAGCTTGGATGTGTTCCTTCCTTTTCAACTTTTTGGGATAATTTGATAAGAATAGATACTAACTCATCTTTAGCTGTGGTTACCATGAGGTATATGTGTGTGTGTTGTGTGTGTATATATATATATATATATATATATATATATATATATATATATATATATAGTTTGTGTGTGTGTATATATATATATATATATATATATTAGTTTGACATTTATTTTACATTTTCAAATTCTTTGTTGAAGTTCTCACTGTGTACTTTTAAGACTGTTACTTTGAACATTTTGTGAAGTAAATTATTTATCTCCATTTCACTAGTTTTTTTCCCCTGGAGTTTTATCTTGTCCTTTCATTCTGAACATATTCCTGTCTTCTCATTTTGTTTGACTTTCTGCTGTTTGTCTCTATAAATTAGGTGAAGTAGTTTCCTCTCTGTCTCTTGAAGGTGTGCCTTTGTCTGGGAGTGTCTATCTGCTGACTGCATGTGCTCAGTGGCTTTGGCAGGAGGATTGGAGCCAAAGTAAGCACAGGCCAGGGCTTTTTCCAGGGTTGTCTGGAACTGTCGCACTGGTGGTGTGGACGGGAGCTGGAGCCTGGAGTGTGCCAGGACTTCTACTAAGGTGCACTTGAATTTAATGTTTGGAGGAATTTTTTTCCTCTTAACTTGTCAGCTCCTTTGAGGGAAATTCAGTTTCTCATCTTTTATTTCATAAAACATGTAACACACATTCTTTGCAAATATTGGAACAAAATAATTATCATTTAAATAAATGAATTGATGCCTAACTCCTTTAATGCACATTCAGGGAAATTTTTTTAAAAATTAGAACTTTAAGGGAACTTTGGAATAATTTATTCTAACTTTTTCATCTTACATATAAGGAAATCAACTTCAAAGAAGTTCTGCTGCTGTTTTCAAGATCTCATCACTTACAAAGGAAAAATTAGGACAAAAACCAAAGCCTCCTGACCCTTGGACAATGCTTTTATATATTTTTAATTATACTAACATGCCTTTTTAAATGTACATGGTATATCTTATGAATCTTTTTTGATGCTTCACATGATAATGTGTCCAGTTAGTTACTTAATTTTTTAATGACAATTATTTAAATTATATGAAGATCTTTACTAGATAAGTAGTATTAAAAAATGAAATGTTCAATTGGAGAAATAATTTTTTAAGAGACTATAAATAACACCCTTGACAGCAAACCAGATTGAGGAAGAAGATATACAACTATTACAGAATGAGTCTTATATAAATATTTATTGCCATTCTTAAGAAAAGATTTTAAGAAGAAAACTACCTTTAGAATTCATATAGAAATGAAACCTATTCAGTGGCAAATTATTTTAGGAAAAAATCAGTACAGATATATGATTAGTCATACATATGAATGTAAACTATAAATAACATCTATATTGGTTAAATGGCTTTATTATACAAGCCGGCTAGTTTATTAATGTAGTTCTCTGATTTTGCATATATATTTTTATTGAAGTATTTTGTCTTTGCATACATGCAAACTATATAAATGTGTAGAGCATCAATTTAGTATGGTTGCCATTTTATACGGATAATTTGATTCCCCCTGTTTTAAAAATTAACAAACATTATATATATTAAAGGTTAATACTGAAGTATAATTAAGAACATGGCATTGTTTTGGGCTCTAGTGAGTATTACATTCTCAGAAAGCCTGGAGCATGGTTTCTGACTGTCTCTTAAAATTTTCTTTTTTAAAGGTATATAAGATTTGTGGCCGTCCAGTCAGAACACCCACACAAAGCCCCCGCTGTTCTTTTGATGGGAGCAAAGAGAAGCATGGAATGAAGATCTCCACAAGAAACGGTGAAGAGACACTTGCCAACAGAAGAAAGTAAGACATTTGTTTTACAACCAGAAAGAGAAAAGAAAGTAAGCCATTAATTTTACAACAGAATAGAATGTATTCAATTAAGTAGAACAAAATACACTATTGGAGAAACAAAAGTTCAACATTTAAAATTTAGTGGTTCCTCCTATCATGTTAATTAGGAAGACAGGTTCAACTCAGGAGACCAAAATACTTTCAATGATCAGGAACTTTTAAAATAATATACTGTGGCAGGCCTTAGGCACATACGATCATTGTGCGCTTAGAATGCGGCTAGTGTACAACGTTGTAGGGCAGATGTCTAAGACTTAGTCATCTTGCTTAACTGAAACTGTGTCATTGATTAGTAACTCCCCATTCCCCCCTCCCTGTGGTCAAAGATGTTGTATTGTACACTTCAAAATTCATTAAGAAGGTAGATCTCATGGTAAGTGGGCTTACTACAAAAAAACAAACCTTTAAAAAATGTGGCTAGTGTGAGTAAGGATTGAATTTTTAATGTATAATTTTTAACTAGTTTTAGTCTAAATTTTACATGTAGCTAATGGCTTCTATATTGGACGGAATGCAAGACAGAAGGAGTATTCATGTAAATGATGTGATAAGTAATACTGTAGACTGTTAAGTATCTGTTTAAAAACCAAAGTATGCATACCTTTTACCTGGAATGCTAAAAATTACTGTCTGTTGATTCAAAATGATAAGCATTGAGTGGCTTGTGCCTGTAACTCACATTTCTACCACTATGCCCATCATTATTTCACTGGTTAAATTAGAGCTTTCATTAGTGTCCATTTACTTGATAATTGGTGATTAAACTACAAACCTCTTAAAACTGTAGGAAACTGTTATTTTATTTATTGCGGTATTCAGTTGAACAGTGCTGTGTTCTGGCAAATACTGGATTCTCAATAGGTATTTTTGAATTGAACTGAAATTCACAACTCTGTATTTGTTTATTAATTCAAATAATCATTTCTAAGAATATCTTACGAAGAATTCTACATTTTACATGGTCTTACTTTCTATAACGTAAGATCTTTTCTCTGTTTTGAAATAGTGCTCGTAATTGTCTCCTTCTCTCCTCAGGTGGGTTGTGAGAACAGGATAAAGCTTTGGGCTATTGCTGGCTATTTGCTACAGCTCAAAACACATTGTTTGCTTGTAAAGTAGCTGTGGTTTATTTATTTATTTTTTTAATTTAAACATCTGTAGTGATCAGCAGTCATTTCTTGCATTTGAGAAATCAATATGCTTTGACTGTGGTGGTTCTTATAATAAAACCCAGCCAAGGGTTTTCTTAGGTTCTTCTTAGAGGTCATGTCAGTTTCACCACCAAGGTAACGTAGTTGCTGAAAAACCAAAACAAAACCCAACACTTAACATGGTTTATTCGCTTGCAAAACTAAGACAATGCAGGTGAAATGTTAGGAAATGGCTCAGGAGTAATGAGGGGCTCACATGACTGGGAAGTTTTTGATGATTCTATCCTGGCCATTAAATAGACCTCCTTGTCACCAGTCTTGCAAACTCATTATTTCCATGTCCTTGACCAGTTCAGCCACCATTAGCCATTTCCCATGAATCAGGGTGGACCCATCACAGGCCAATCTCATGCCACACAAAGTGAGAAACTAGAGGCACTGCACTTGAGCCCGCTTAAGCATTTCATTTTTACACATTTTTTTATTGCCACTCCTGGATGGGACTTAATTGCTATGGCAGTATATTTCTGCTTGATGCCTATATATTGTGCTGAACTATCCATAAACTAGACCTGAGTTTTATTTATCCTTTCCTATCTATAAAGTAGACTTTGTCAACCAAGCAATGCAGAAGGCTGCAAATAAGAAGAGAATTTATTTAGGCTCTTGGGAATTACAGTTCTGGAGACCCAGGTTTGGGTAAAACTAAAAGAGTGTTGAGGGAAAAAAAGAGTCAGGGGCTCCTAAAGACAAAAGCCACAAGGCTGTGTAAAGTTGTCTGGCAAGAATTATGATCGACTCTGATGTAAGAAAGGAAATATTTATCCCTAAGGGCTATTTCAGGGTAAGGGCTCAGTAAGTAGAGAGGCTGTCACGAGTTATTTGGTGTAAGGGTCTGATAACCATCTTGAGCTTCTGGAACATTGGGCAGATGTTGTGGGTGCCTGCATTAGGACAGTAAGTGGACAAAGGTCAGATTCCATCCAGGCTGAGATGTGCATGTCACACTTCCTGAAAGGCCTTCAGCTCCATGTAGAGAGCTCTCTTAGCAGTACCATTTTGATTTCCCTTTTACAAGCTGAATTTTATTTATCCTTCATCAACTGATCTTTCCCCATGAGGTCATAAATTGTGCTTGAAGTAGGTGGGGCAGTGTAACAGGAGTGGGTGCTTAGTGAGCCTGGGCTACTTTCCATGCATCTTACTTGTGCTTTTTCTACCTACTTCAGTCTGCTTTTCAATAGATCATTTCCACTTGAGGTTATATTGCTTTGACACAAGTCTGATTGTATAGCCTGCAGATCATATATCATTGAGTTCATCATGGCCACCTCAGGTTGCTGAATCACTTGGTAGCTCATGGTCAAGTGTGCAGTTTCGATCAGAGCCCAGTTGCAAACCAACCAACCAACCAACCAACCAAGCAAAAACAGTTTTTAGCAAAAGAAATGACTTTACTCCAAAACCCCTGATGTCTATACTATGATTCTTCTAATGGGGCTTTCTGGAGTCTCTGTAGAGCATCTTTATTTGCCCCCTGCACTTTGGTCACCATTGAATAAATGAACTGGGTTGTCTGGACTGAACGTCAGAGCAGCTGGGGACTACTTTACAGATGGGTTACAACAACACACTAAGTTGTAATATATGTGTGATATGTTTTTCCTAATGTGCAAAGGGACTCAGATAGCACTGTGCCTCTTCCTGAGTGCTAGACGTCTGAAGTGCAGACATTTACATTAGAGGAATATCCCAATCAGATTCAGACATTTAGAAACCCTGCTGAATTGTTAAGCACTCAAAATGTCAATATTTTTCCCCACTAGAGTCATTCACTTGTCTACTGTTATCTAGGATGATGTGATCAATATTTTATTATCAGTATGGTGTCCTGTAGGACGTCTAGATGATCACGGCTCGTGTCTGTCATGGAGTAGAATTGCCCGGAGGTCTAACAGTGAAGGGATACTTGCCAGCTGAAAGTGAAATATTCCTAATTGTCCTTACTAATTGGTAAAGAGATAAAAGCATTTGCCAAATCATTAGCTGGATAGCAGGTGGCGGGACACGTTTTGATTTGTTCTAGCAGATACCACATACTATGTCATTGGAGTCACCCTCTGACTCAGGTTATGATAATCCAACCATCCTCCATGTCGACCTCAGTGTGCACAGACCAGCCAAACAAGTGAGGTCACTGGTGAGGTGTTAGAATCACCGTCACTACATTGTTCATATCTTTGATGATAACCCTAAACTCAGCAATTCCCTGGGGATATTGTGGTAGTGTGATTTATCGTAAGAAATATATATTTGGTGTCTGACACAATTCTTGGCGTACAGCTCCCAAAACTCTTGGATTTTCCTACGTGATGAAAGCAAAAAAGTGCCTTTCGTTATGTTAAGGAGGTGACTTTTGGAGCCCACCTAAGGATGGGGCTGGTTGCCTAGAGATCCAAACATGTGATTAGAAGCTTGAAACTTTCAGTCCCACCTCCCAACCTCCAGTGAGGCGAGAGGGGCCACAGGCTGAATCAATTGCCAATGACCAGTGAGTTAATCAGTCACACCTATGTCACGAAGCCTCCGTAAAAGCTGCAAAGAGCGAGGCTGGAGAGCATGGGTTGATGAGCACGTGGAGGGGCTGGGAGAGCGGCGTGCCGGTGGGGGTGGGGGGGCGAGGGGGCGAGCGCGGGGCAGGGGCAGCGTGGAGGCTCCGCTCCCTCTCCCCGAGCCTCGCCCTCGGCGGCTCTCCCCGCAGGCTGTTCCGGAGTTACATCCTTTTATAGTAAACTGTTGACCTAGTAAGTAGAACTTACTCTGTGAGCTGCTCTGCCAAATGAATCCATCCTGGGGGAGGGGGGGTCACGGGAACCCGTGATTTATAGTCAGTTGGTCAGAAGTACGGGTAACCTGGACTTAAGCCTGGCATCTGACTGTGTGGGGGGCAGGGGCAGGGTGCGTAGAACCTGTGGAATCTAATGTTATGTGTCTGGGTAGGTAGTTTCAGAATTAAGTTGAATTTTCAGATACGCTGCTGCTGTGGGGAAGTTGCTTTTTGGTGGCGTGGGTACCCCTACTTCCTCTCCACCTGTTGGCATTGGTACCAGAACCAAAACAGCTATGATACCCTTTTATTTACTAATTTTCTGTGAGAGGTAGTTTTCGGGATTTCAGTTTGGCCCTCACTGCATGAGTGGAGAAACCAGTATGGGGACTGTGCGAGGGGTGTGTGTATCTCATGTAAATATGTGCACAGAAGTGTGAAATAGGCACACTTCTATGTACTCAGGGGGCCCAGCGTGAGACCGACTGAGCCTAAAACTTAATTTTCGTTTGACTTCTGTAAGGCCCATTTAGACTGACAGAGTCTAGTGGCACTGTGGGTCTTCAGGATGAATGTTAACTGAGAGCTAGTGTCTGTTCCTGAGAAACAAAAGGTTTCTTAAGAGATGGCTTGAAGGAAGACTTACACTACATAGTTGTTGGGCTTACGCAGGGTTCTTTCTCAAGAGAACCCTGCCTTGCTGCGGTGAAGGTGCTCGGAAGCTGGGAATTAGGAACTAGGTGTGAATTCTTTTTGTGGCAAATAAAGTGGCATTTCTTTTTATATCTTTAATTTCCAAGGATTTGTTTCTTGTACTTAATTTTTTTGTTATTCGCATCCCATTCTTATTTCATGGGCGAGCTATTTACTTATCACTCTAATTAATATATTAACTAATATAGTTTATTTAACTAATACAAACTAATAAAGGTTTAGAAATTTTAATTATTTCCTGTATTTTTGTTTTTTCT